ATTGACCTCTCGGTCGAAGTTGGACTTACCTAGTCGGACTATTTGTCCCAGGTAAACGTACTCGTCAACAACTTCGAGCATAGTGCTCCCAACAACTACCGGCATAGGTGTGACATGGACATTAAACATGATCTTTGTATTGTCCATGTTCATCTTAAGACCTATCCGTTGGGAGGCACTATTGAGGTCATTGAGCATAGTGCTTAAGTCCTCCAGCGATTCTGCCATAAGGACTATATCGTCGGCAAATCGAAGGTGAGTGATGTACTCGCCATTGATGTTAATACCGTATCCTTTCCAGTCCAGTAGCTTGAAAACGTCTTCCAAAGCAGCGGTGAAGAGTTTCGGGGATATAACGTCACCCTGTCTTACACCTCTCTGCAGTTAGATAGATATAAACCAAGTTTAAATAGGTTTTTTTTTATATCATATTTATTGTTTAAAAAATTGACTTTGAGCTTCCTCATACGGCCAGCATCGAAAGACCTCGTCTCAGATCCATAATCATCACTGGCAACATGCACTGATTGTACAATCTAGTTTTGAGGTATTCCTGACGAGAAGTTGTGTTGTAATCTCCCGAACGCTGCCCAGCCGAGTTGAATCCGTCGATTGACCCGTCGGTCGAAGTTTAACTTACCTAGTCGGACTATTTGTCCCAAGTAAAAATACTCGTCAACAACTTCAGCTAAGTGCGCCCAAAAACCACCGGCATAGGTGTGACATGGGCTTTACACATTACTTTTGTTTTGTCCATGTTCATCTTAAGACCTATCCGTTGGGTCATTGAACATAGTGCGTAGGTCCTCCAGCGATTCTGCCATAAGGACTATATTGTCGGCAAATCGAAGGGAGAATGATTAATAGTATCTATCAGTAGTGTTTCGGGGATATTACGTCACTCTGTCTTACATATGTTTTTTTATTTTTTTTTATTTACCTATTGTTACGAGCTTGAGGTTCGTGACAATAAAAACTGCCGATTGAATTACCAAAATTTACACTTTTATTACCGAACACCAATTAAAACTTAAAAGACACTAATAATTAATCACACTGATTCACTTTATTTCGCTCCGAAGCTTCGCTTGTCTCGCCAAATTCAATACTGCCCCGATCGCGGGTTGCAGCGGCTTTAAATACACATTTTCTACCGAAACATCCAGAATATTCCTGTAAATACAGGCGCCGAACGACCAGGCGTAGAAAGCTCGAGTGTGGGGCTTCTAGAAAGCTTAATTCTTCTGTTCGATATTAGATGGCGCTGTTGGTTGAAAGATTAGTCATGGCATTTTCTGGAAAGCTCTCCTCGCTATGTTATATATATCTCTACAGTTGGATTAGTTTTGTATTCTGGTTCTGTACTCGGATACACATTCAACTAAAAAATTATAAAGATTAAACTAACTACTACTGATTAAAATAATTTATTGTCAACCGTTCATTTAGTTCTAGTATTATACAAAACAAATCAGCTGCTATAATAACGCCTATTCTAATCAACTACAGGTCTGTCCATAGACAGTAAAATATTTTCTACTATATAAAAATGTATATTTGTTTGTACTTTCTACGATGCTATACCGTTCATCAGATTGCGGTAATACTTAGTCAACTTATTGGTTGCACTTGTGCGAAGGTGCATGTGTGTAACATGGTACAATTAACGGACACCAGGGGGGCGTGCGTATTATACTGACTACTTATTTGAAAGTTATATATCATTCTATTTCAATGATTGTATTATCATTCCTAATTATACAATGTAGACGTGGGTCGTTACATCATTTTCAAGAAACGTAACGAAACCAGTGACTTGATCGGCGTCACCTGTTCAAAACTAGTGATTTTTGTAAGTGGCTATTTTTGTTCGGCTACTGTGATTGTTTGCATAAATATCACCACCAACTACTTATACAGTTACACACGAAACGAAAACAAATTTAATCACAATCTGTGTTTGTAGCTATACAGTAACTGTATACTGTTATATCAATAAATTAACTTCCCTTCATACTTCATTTAGGTTTAGGACTGACTGCATTAAATGTAATTATTTTTGATTTGCGTTTACTATGACACTAAGATTTTCATAAAGTTATTAATGCAGGCATATTTACAAGTCAATTTGATTGTACCTATATACAATGTTTATTAATATTTACAGTTTATTTACACTTTTTCAACGTTTTCACTATCATTTGTTTTTGCATTTCTATGTACACTGTACAATTAATTTGTTTGTTTGGCTATTTACACACAGTTTTTAAGTTTTTAATATTATAAACATTTAAATTTTTAAATTTTTTATACACATTTTTTTAGTTTTATTTTAATTTTATGAATAAACGAGTTCATGGATCCGTCAAAAATGTTTTAAAAATTATTTTAGTTAAATTCAATGAGACTCGCTTCCCGGAATCGCTAACCGTTGAAATTATTTACAAACAGAGATTACTCTATTATATTGTCTATGTCTATAGTCTTACGTATGAAAATTAAACGTACAATAATACTGTTACTTACGATGTTTTGTTTATTGTTGTATGCCACATGTGCGCTTTGCGCTCGGCCGACCGACAGTCGGTCGACTCCCGCAATAATCATGGTTAACAGTAATCATAATCACGCATTTACAAAAATCACTACTTGTAACTTGACTCGAAACTAGTGATTCGGTTACATGCCGCGTAACCAGTTACTGTATCTAGTGACGTGAACTAACGCCCACGTCTAATACAACGTAACTCTTCCACATTTTTAACGATATTTCCACAATTATTTCTTCTGCGGCAGCAATGCGCCGGGTATCAGCTAGCAAGATAATATAAAAAAATAAACTTTGAATTACATAGTTATCAGTTATTTACAACGTCATTTTCGACATTAAAATACAACACTAAAACACTAACTTACAATATTAAAAAAATTACTGAAATTATCATACAGTCCTACTTTCCGTGGTATCGTCCCAAGAATGCTGGCTACGTGTCCTCTCTGAATGGTTATACTTAGCCTTCAAGCTAGGAAATAACAAACTAAACAACTTCTTATTACCAGCAACGAAAATCAGTCGCAGGTACAGTTTCTTTTTCAGCCCACTAAAATACATGCAACATAAAAAATATATTAAAAAATTACTGAAATTATCATACAGTCCTACTTTCCGTGGTATCGTCCCAAGAATGCTGGCTATGTGACCTCTCTGAATGACTATACTTAGCCTTCAAGCTAGGAAATAACAAACTAAACAACTTCTTATTACCAGCAACGAAGATCAGTCGCAGGTACAGTTTCTTTTTCAGCCCACTAAAACACATGCAACGTGGCTCGACATCATCAAGCGACCTTTCGACACTTGGCTATGGCCCTTGAGTTTGGTGGAAAATGAGGAAAGAAGAAATAAAAAAATACATTCGCAATAATAATCTAATGCTTTTATACTTACTGGTACTGTTACTACCAGAAAATATTGTCGGTATACTGCTCTTTTTCAAAGTGGTGCAGTTCTCATGTCTAATAAAACAGTCGTCTGTGAAATGTTTGGAATAAATATGATAATTTTGTTTCGGACGCCAATTCACAATATTTATGCTTTTAAGCCATAATCTTAGTCTAGCTTCAGTTGGAAACCTGTTAATTAATAAACATTTGATAATCGTCTGTTGTTGGCGACTTTGTTTGTTAACAGATATGGGTAGGAAAGAACATCGATAAGTATTATAGACAAGGAACTCGACAACCCTATATATATAAGTGAGATAGATATATGTTTATTTAAAATTGTTATGAGTTTCAAAGCTACGTCGTCGCGTTTGGATAGTGGTTACACTTTTTTCGACGCGCGGTAATGTGGTATGCTCCTCTAGTGCTGTAAGTATAACTCAATGTTATCAAAACTCAGTAATATACAGCCAAAGATGTTGGCATATATGATATTAAGATTAGTAACAAATTTTTAACTACTTATATTATCAAATAGTTTTAATTTGTTTAATATTTGCTGTAAATTCACTTACCTACTTGTGAAATGTTATACCACTTCCCTTTTGGTAACGAGTTTTACAGATTACGCACACTCTCATTATTAATAAAAATAATACTTATTGTGTACCTAATATTATACACAATTAAACAACATAAAATACTTTCGTTTTTTAGTTTAAAAGTTCAAAATACAGATTTATTAAATAAGACAATTTAAATATCACAACAAACTTTGGCATATTATGTCAATTTTATTTTTCAAGACATCCTTTAGCGGCGCTTCATATTGGCACAGTCATTTTCTATGGTATAGCCAGTTTTTTTTTTTTGCGCCCGAAGCAATTAAAGGGCTACCCTATACGTAGGGAGGCGGAAAATGCATTACGCATACCACGATAGCCGATCTATCGTGGTTATGGGGGACTCACTGTCCTACCGGGGACCCTAAGTGATACCCCCTAAAAACCGCCTTTGGGAACAGGCAGCCGGCTGATTAAGCTCTATTGTGCCTTATCATGAGCGACCCTCTTTTGGGAAAAGAGGGCGCAGGCGGCTAAGTGCCGCTGAGGGAGTGCCTACGAAGGCAAATTAATGTTAGTTATTACAATAATTTTATTTAATTAGAGTTGGCCTGAGCTGCCAGGAGACAGTTCAGGTCGTTTGAAAGTTTATTAGGCGGGTCCGAGAGAGAGTTTCTCGGCCTGCGGACACGATAGCGAGAAGGGGGTGGGGCTGCATAAGAAGCTACCTCACGAATTAAATGGTTTGGGTGCGACTCTGAGGCTTTGAAGAAGTTCTCAGAGAGTTTTTTTTAAAAAATTGTTGAATTGTTGGGAGCTCTAAGTCCCGATGAAGGTCGGCATTACGGACGTACCAAGGTGCGTTCGCAGCTCGACGATAGAAGAGGTTCTGAACTATTTGGAGTTCATTTAAAATATTTGGGTTTGCGTGGGCAAAAACTGGGCCCGCGTAGGATCAGTATAGCCAGTCCAGGGTACTTGTATATATAGAGGTCAGTGTTGTAATGCCTCAGAATCACCTCTCCTAATTGAACTTCGTTGCTCTGTACTTTCGCCTATATATGTAGTTGTAACCATATCTTTAAGATTTGTCAATGATTTATCTTGCGGTGTTAACGTCTTATCCGCATAGCTATTGGTTACATCATTTCCTACCTCAACAGAAATTAATATAATGTTCATTCGAAACAAAAGGTGATTCAATATTAGAAGTATTATTTAATTTCGTCAATGTTTCTATCAATCGAGACAAAGGCAGTGTCGTATAATGGGCAATCAAATTGAGTTGGTGTTCCTGACTTGGTTTTAACGGCTCTAACTATACCTTCTGGAGAAGCAATAAAATCAACATTATCTAAAATATATGAAAGGTTCCATACTGAAGATGGCGTTCCCGTTCCTGTTCCCGTTCATGAACAATATCCAAATAATCTCCCTTTGAACATGATGCCAAGTCATGTTCAATAAAATTTTCAAAACTTACTTTCATTTTGAACTTCTCGTATACCTAAAGCAAGGTCTTGGTGATTGTTGTCTTGTTGAGTATATGATACGCATCTAAAAATTTTTAATATATCGTGAAAAAAAATCATAGCATATAACCATGAAATCAAACATCATGAAATATTAAAGTTAAATAGTCATAACATACTATTTAAAGCATTCATTTGTGTGTTACTAGTTGAAAAGTTATCAGACAAATACTTGTCTATTAAAAATAGAGCGAAATGGTTTTAACCGAATAAGCATCTTAAGACGTCAAATGATGTTTGTAATTTGTGGATATGTGAAATATTATGTAAGCTTATATCAATAATGAAATAATAATATACACTTACCTTAAAAACCTGTCGAGCTTGGAAGGGTAAAACGCGTTACCAAAAGAAATACCCAATTTATTTACGGGAATAAAATGGTATAACGTCTAACTAATGTACAGAGGCGAATAGTCGTACAATAATATATGACAACGATATTATTAGGGGGAAGTGGGCAGATTGATGCGAAAAATTTCAAAGTTACTTTTAAGTAACATTAAAGTGTATATTTTTTATATTTTCCGCATTGATTAATCTGTATATATTATAAAAGTATTCAAAAGAAACTGTCAAATTAATATTTATATAAAATATAAAACTTTAAGTAAAACAAGGGATTTGTATCATTGTGCCCCACCTACGGGGCACTTAGATACACTACTTGGGGCACTTTGATACTAACTAAAATTTGTATGAAATTAGCACTAATTTAGAAGACTGTAGACTAATTTAGAAGACTGTAAGTATGTAACAATACTTTTATTGTTTACAGATTACAATCAGCCTTACAGTTATATAAATATATCACATTTTTTAATCTAACTCGTCATTTTAACTATACATATTCTTCATATAAACTTTCCACAATTGAACAGAAAAACACATAGTTTTCTTTTGATATAAATCAATCTAAATAAATCACACGTTATAAAAACTAGGAAAGACATAGACAGGGGGGAAGGGCAATATCTGTTGCAGTTACTATCCAGTGTAACTATCTCTACCCTTTCGGCGGACACCATTTGTCCTATTTGCCTCTATGTCTTTTCAGTTAAAATTTGGGTGTAGATAAAACAGTAGTGACTCCAGTTTCGTCAAGGTTGATGATACGGTCAGAAGCAAATGTATAACGTAGCATTACACGCTCACAATTGTCAAATAAATCATTCAATGCTGTTTTATTAAATGAGAAACTTCCTGCTGCGCTAGTGTTTTCTGGTTTTCTGAGGCTAAGCTCCTGGTTTCTCATTCTAAGTCCTCTTGACCAGTCTTTCCTAGCACGTTTATTTTTCTTTCATGATTCTGGATATTTGACACCTGAGTATTTGGCAAATTCATAGGCCAAAACCAAAAGTTGCTGTAAGCACAACCCGTGGTGCATTTTGCTACAGTTCAACAAATATTTTGTAAGAATCTTCCCTTCTTGTTTTGAAAATATTTAAGCAACAGTGTATTTAGAACTGTATGACTAAGACGATGATCTTTGGTTATGTTTAAAAGATTTTCAAAATTTCTTGATAGGATGTTGCAATGTTGCAGCTTTGGTGTTGCACATATCACCTACTACACGTATAGATAATTTCTTCGATATAACGTTGGATATGGCCTTCATATTTTCTTTGTTATATTGAATCGTTATGTCTTTGGTTTATAGGTCCACACCATTCTCTGAAAAAAAAGATGTCGCTGAATTAATTATTAATTACAAAATTTTACATCGGGGCAGAATGATAAGCATCAAAGTGCCCCAGAGTTTACCTTATCATTGTGCCCCAACAGTAATTTTTGTAAAACGTTAACATCATATTTATCTATGTTGATTTATTGAGAAAAAATCATTAAACTAATATTTATGGATGGAACAGCTCACCTTTAATATGTATAAATATTTCGAAGAAGTTGTAGAAAATGAGTAAAACTTTTTTTCATTCCACGTGATTTTTTAGTAGGACGCACACAAAACACAAAATGATCTCGTCTAACTCCATCAGCTAAATGGATGGCTGCGCGGTCGCAAGTGCCGGGCTAAGGCAGGCATAGACAATTTATAATGTTATCACGACTTGATTACATCTAATCCATTAGGATATATGTTAGGTGAATCAATCTGCCCCTTGCATCAAACTGCCCCGCCTCCCCCTATGGGTTATAAATTATAATTGTTACATGATTTCCGAAGAATAAAAATAAAAATTGTTATATCTTTGTTAATTTATATTGACTCATAGATGTAAAAAAATTGTCATAATAGCATATCACGATTTTGTTCATATGGGCCTTCGTTATTATTTATAGGTAGATCTAGATAATTATGTACCTATTTACTGATTTATTACTTGATTAGCGACCCGACCACAGCTTCGCAGTTTTTGATTTTTTCGCGTATAATGGCAATGAACTTAAAATTGTTCAGTATACTATATAATTAGACCTCCCAGTACTACTGACTGCCTACCAATTCAAGATCAGCATATACTGGTTAATAGTTTAACTTTTGGTCGATTAAAGAAAGAGACTGAAAATAACAGCACCTCTCATTGCCAGTCTTTCATTAATAATGCTGTCGCATGTCGCATGTTTGTAAATAGCAAAAAATCTGAAACAGACTATTTTTTTAAATAGAATAAGGGTGACAAACGAGCACACAGTGCACCTGATGGTAAGTGGATACAGTGGTCCATAGACATTCACATGTCACTTCGATTATAGTCCGGCCGCTGAGTTATTACCGATTTGACACATGACGAATTGACAATACTAGTGAAGTGACTGAACCAGTAACCCTAATATCGTTTGGGAACAGTTTGTTTTTAAATATTCTAGTATAGTGTGTAATTAAATAAAATCAAAACAATAATAGTTAAAGACACAGGTTCTTTATTAGGTGGAGTATCCTTGATGGGCGTAGATAATTGGTCGAGGACATATCAAAATAAAACAAATTTGTAAACACTGTTACACATTTTAATGAATGGAGTAGGTACAAGATGTTTTAATAAATGACTACCTATCATTTATTAAAACAATTATTCAGACTCTGAACCAGATTCGCCAGAGCTGTCATCGCTATCAGTCACTTGTATGACAATTTCATTCTCTATAATGGTGTCCACTCTTATATCGCGTTCATAATCTTCTGTTATTAGTTTTCGAGTCTTTTCGACGACCTTGACTCAATCTTCTTTCGTTATTTTGCTGCAAGCATCTTTTAATAGACCCATCATTTTATTAGTACTGAATGGCGGAGTCGTATTATTACGAGCTGCGTAACCTGTAATGTAAACATTAAATAACGTTAATTTATTACGATAAACGAAATGTTACACAATTACCTACATGTAAGGACATGAGATATTTATTTCTTAGTTATGTATCTTTTTACTTATATGCTGAATATTGGATGTTATAATAGTACAAAATATTCATATTCATAACTTATGCGATAAAAAACAATAGCTTTGATTTGTGCCCATATTAGCTCAATGGCATTGTACTGGCAGTGAAAAGGCGGAATTGGAAGTACCCGATGTCCATGTGCTAGAACTATCTCATCTACTTCATAACGGACTCTTGATGTTTCATTTTCGCGTACCAACTTTACTAAGTCAGACTTTAGCATTTCGGCAGTAGTTTCAATTCCATTTTGGTGTAGCCATGCTACGAGATCAGCTTTCTTGTCGGCCTGAGTAGGCGCTTTATTCACTTGTTTCGAGTGATATGAAGCGTTGTCCATTATTATGATAGAAGGCTCTGGCAGGCTGGGTAATAATTGATTTTCGAACCAATTCGTAAAAGTGTCTGTATCCATCTCCTCGTGGTAATCGGAAGTACTTTTTGACGCGAAAGCCAGCAGTCCATTTTCAAAGAAACCACTTCCAGCAGAACCGGCGTGACAAATTATCAGTCGCGATCCTTTTCCAATTGGAACCTTTGAGGTTGATGCTTTTGTTTCGTCAGTCCAAGAGCGTGACACAGTGTGGTTTGCATTTAACCATGTTTCGTCAACAAAAACGACGTTGTCCCAAGACTCGATTTTTCTGGCTTCTCTTAAAAACTCGCTCCTTTTAATTATTAAATCAAATCTTTCCATTAATATTTTCCTTTTATTCGTTTTTTTATATTCAAACCCAATTTCGTGCAATAGTTTTGACAACGCCGTTTTACCGCCTTTAAACAAGCCAGCTTCTTTTAAAGAGACCAAAAGCAAACGTCTAGTTGGAAACTCGTTCCTAGTATAATAACCATATATCTGGTTTCTTATTGCATCTGCATCAAAAACATCAACACCTGTCACGGGCTTTTGTCTTCGTTTTTTCTTAGGAGTGCGTAAAACATTATCTTCACTTCCAGAAGCACCAAATTTTTCTTTATTTATATTATATAGTGTTTTTGCACCAATTCCAAGAGCTTGTGAAACCCGATCTTTCACTTGAGTGACAGGAATCAAAGGGCCGCCATTTTGTGACTCACGCTCAAAGTAATCCTGTAGCTTTAGTACAAGCTCACGATATTGACTATTCAATGTTTTTCCTCGTTTCGGCATTTTCAACAAAATTACCAAACACAAACAAAATTAGTCCAATAAAGCGCAACGATAAACAGGAGAAAGCCGAGTCAAAAAACAACGGTTACACAAGAGAACGTAGTCTGTGCGCACGAGAGTACGGAAGACGACTAAACATATTAAAATAGCGGTGGTAAGGGTGTTGCTAGAATAGTATCGCCAATTACTTAAAAAAAATACACCTATAACATTACTTAATTGAGGGAGACAATTATATTTATTAAATGTTGTTTTATATATTATGAATGTTAAAAATTATACATAATCATTTTAATTGTATTTATTTTTAAATCATAGAAAACAGTATTTCTGTCTTTGGATCACACATAAATCTTAAAAATCATAGAGATACTGGCAACACAGTGCAATTAGGAGACGCAAAAAAAGGTACGACTTTCCATTGACGTCCATCGAATTGAGGGGGGAGGGGGAGGGGGATGGAGGGGGGGAGGTTTAATACCCCCCCCTTAAAAGGAAAAGTTGCGGAGCCCCCCCCTTTTCGAGTTTTTTCATTTTTAATTCTGAGAAAATTTTCCTCATTTTATGGATTAATATTAAGTGTAAAAAACCAGGACTCCTCCTTGGGGGAGGGGGGTTCCCCCCTACGGAAGGGGGAACCCCTTTCATCAGAAAAAAAAATAGGGGGACTGATTGAGAGGGATTTCTGTGTCTATTTTGAGACTGCAATGTCTACGGCGCTGCGGGAAGAGCAGCCTCTTCGCCTTTGCGTAACAAATCGTAGGCATCGGACGAGCCGGAGCGGCTGAGGCTGGTCGCCCAAGGCGACCAACAAGCCGAAGCTGCGAAGGCAGGCGGAGGCTGCTCTCCCTACGCGCCTCCGGCTCTATAATAACACTCTAGGGGTAGGACAGACTTGTACCAAGTGGAGTCGGGGTCAACCAATTCGGTTCTTCGACATAAGTTAAACCTAACCTATTTTATTTACTTACTTTTAAAATAAATCAAATAAAATTCATAATTTATTAATCAATTTTATATACATATTGTATTGCTTTAATTAATTCTATGAAAACATCTTTATGTGCTATTTTTATTTTTCTTCGCCAAGAATATTCAATTAGCCAGTCTGTAAAGTTTGTTTTATAACCTTCTCTACCGAACATCACTTTTAAATTTCGCCAGTGGCTTTCTATTCGTTGTGTGTGTGTCCCATCTGGTGCCACAAATTTATTTATAGGGTCGCTGTGATTAACTTTTTTATGTATATATCCATATTGAGGTAGGCAATCATAGGCTCTCCAAAAATCGGTATGGATTTCAGTGCATACCTCCACATGCTTTTGTATTAGTGGCACCAACATTTCCGCAGATCTATCATTATCGGGACACACTTCTAATCTCAAATCATCTTTCCCATTTTCTATCATTCCCAGCACCCAATGGCCTTCAATGTGTCTCCCTCTGTTGTACTTGCGTTTTCCAAATTTTGATTCGTCTATTTGCACGATTTTGCCTGGACCACCAATCTTGCCATTAACTTCTTGGTGCTCCAATTCATAAACTACTACTGTCTGTGTACTGTGTTGTAAGAAAGGATCTTTGCGATATTTAGCAGTGAACCAACCTTATTTCCTCGGCATAGTAGTGGACTCTTCGGCCAGACGAACCAGGAGCTTGAGGTTCCGCATCAGCCACGCTGCTCTCAGACGACGTTGGAGACGCAGGCGGCAGTACCGACACGGTACTGGGAACAGTAGCGCGGGAACTACCAGCTATTGATTTCGATAGCACAGTCATGGGCACAAGTGGCTCACTAGAGTCCAACACTTGCACACAGGGGGTGCCTGCAGAAGAGCTCGCGACAAGTGGCTCATCAGAGTCCAACACTTTCACTACACTCAATTCTACAGACGGCACAGCAGAACACGAAACTTGGGGCTTCGGAGAGGCCATGATGGTAGTCAAACGTTGTTTTCACGACAGGACTACGTAAACGATCTCAACTGCTAGGAACACAAACGATGACAGTGACTGAGGAAGACACTGACAACACCAAATAGCGTCAGTTTTACGTTTCGTTCCACAAGCCGGGAAAAGACCGTAAACACTGCACATTTTAATTTTAATAGCTCGTAATGAAAGTAATTGTTATTTAGTTAAATATAAACTGCTAAATATATATGCATGCATGAAAACTATTAAAATGGATACAAAATATAATTATTTACGTAAATTTTTATAAAATGAAATGTCACCCAACATTTGACAAGTTAACCGTACTTAAAACGGAACATTCAATGTCGTGATATATCTGTAATACGATATAATCTATGGTAGGATTTGACATAAATATTGCAAAAATTATTGATTTTCGATAATTTTTTTTCTCAAAAACTACGCGTTTCCGCATGTTAAAACTTTGCGTGTGTGCTTATATTAATGTCATCCTTCTGTAAAAAAAACTATCAACCCCCAACTCGACGGACGTCAATGGAAAGCTTAGCCCAAAAAAATGGTAGCATTATAGTCTAGTTGCTCGAAGGAATAAGTAAAATAAAAATATCCAAATAAAATAAATATCATATCTATTCCAATGATTTCGGACCGAATACTATCAAGCACATCACTATGAAAACTAGACGCACGATGTAACTTTGTACAAGCTCGCCAAAGAACAAAAAATAAATGTTTTCATATTATTTACAAACTATTTTTAGTTTTGAAACAGAGTTTATTGGAAAATTACTTGATTCTGACATTTTGACATAAAGTTTTATATTAAAGAGGTATTCTAAATCATTCGGCAAATGTGTCGCTCGTGCAAGGTTATATCGATTAATTTAAGAATAATCTGTCAAATCGGTAATAACTCAGCGGCCGTACTATAAGAATCAAAATGCAGATGCGTTGTCAACCATGAGAACTAAGACGGAATGCCCCGATTCCTGTAAAACGGGTCTCCGGGTCTACACTACCATAAGAAACACAGCAGTATTAAGCTGCTATTTCACGCTATAATTGCAGCGTGGCTCTACTACTAGTGGTGAAATAAAAAAAAATGTAGGGGAAAGTGGTATGAAGGAGCCAGGTTTTTAAAGAGCCACTTACAATATTTTGGTAGTTTATGACAGATTTGATTGGTAAATTTATTAATATATAGCAATACAGATTCCCCGTCACCCACAAACATTTGACAGTCCGCTGAAACCAACGGACACCGGTACATCGAGTCAAAATTTTTGGTACTAAAAAGTAAGTATTTTGCTTCATTTAACTTGTTTTTTGGTATTTTATTGTAAAGAAATGTAGGAAAATGGATTGTAGATTGAGTTTGTGGATATACTTAGCCTTGCAGCTGCGTAAAACTAACTTGTGCGTTTGAACTTACGCTATTGTTTACATTTAGTGTGAAATTAGAAACAATTTAAACAAGAAGAAACTGTTCAATCCGTCATCAGTATTACATGCATCGTACACACACGCGCATATCCCTCCCTGTTACACTTAAAAGTTGAGTTTCAAAGTTTTATGGCGGCGGAACCACCAAGACGCGGAGATCATGCAAGATAATCATTTTCCAACGAGGAATACGCAGATATCTTTTATCTCTATGGATATTGTGACGGTGACGAAGTAACGCTACTAAAAGTACAACTTTTTCCAAACAGAAGATAAGTAATTAAAAATAAAAATGATTTTGTGAAAAATAATTGTATGTGATCAATTGTGCAAATCATGTTAAAAACATCCCTATTTATCTAGCTCTAGAATGAGGTCAGGTAGTCGAGTTCTAAGCAGACAAAGGAATTTGTGTTTTATTTTTAACCAATATTAATCTCCTTCTTCCATCACATGCACTGGTGTGTAGTGGTACGTATAAAGCCCCGCACTATGCACAGTAGACCAGACCTTCCACTGCGATACACTTAAGCGACGAGCAACTATGTTCGTGGAAGTGGTTGGATCTTCTTGAAATTTACTCAAAATTTCTTCATATTCTGTGACATGGGGTGGTCGGCGATTAGGGTAGCGCTGTAGGTAGCAGCTGCAGCGTCACCGTCACAATATCCATAGAGATAAAAGATATCTGCGTATTCCTCGTTGGAAAATGATTATCTTGCATGATCTCCGCGTCTTGGTGGTTCCGCCGCCATAAAACTTTGAAACTCAACTTCTTTAAGTGTAACAGGGAGGGTTATGCGCGCGTGTGTACGATGCCTGTAATACTGATGACTGATTGAAAAGTTTCTTCTTGTTTAACTTGTTTCTAATTTCACACTAAATGTAAACAGTAGCGTAAGTTCAAACGCACAATCTTTTACGAGCATTCCCGCAGCTGTTGATAAGGTTCCGAGAAGCGATTGTTTGGGATAACCCAAAACATTGCTACTCGGAACTTGTCTACCTGGCCCCTTTTTTCAAGTTTTTTCTGTACTATTTAAGTTACAAGCTAAATTGATACGTCGTTGGGTAGCTAGATAAGTAGGGATGTTTTTAACATGTTTTGCACAATTGGTCACATACAATTATTTTTCACAAAATCATTTTTATTTTTAATTACTTCTCTTCTGTTTGGAAAAAGTTGTACTTTTAGTAGCGTTACTTCGAAAATGATGAGACTTTTTGCACACTGTAGTATTGATAAATAAGTATCCAGGTTTTCATAAAATAATAAAATGAAAATAATACAGCTGTAAGTTTTTTTTTAGAAATTTTTGACACGACTTTTGGGATTCTTGAAAAAAATAATTAAACTTAAATATCTCGAAGTTTGTCCACAATTGCATAATGCATTTTATGGTTCATTTGATAGTTTATGACCCCAACTATCACGCCTCGGCGGGAATACGTCGAGTTACCAGTAAGCCTGTATATAATAGGTATGACTGAAATGAAATAATTAAAAATTTCTTAAAACGGTCATTAGTTTTAAAAAGGATTTGTTAGTACGGTTTTTTTATTTTTTTTAAATAGTGGATTTATTATTATTTTGCATAATTTTCACAGTTACACGTTATAATACAGACTGGCTCTTTCATAACTTTTAGTACCTCTTTCAATACCGAAATGTTAAAAGAACCAAAAACCAAATTTTTTTAAAATGAATATTTCGTTGATTTTTCCATAGCATTTATGGGTTTTTCGTATGTAATTACCTACTTTAATAAATAAATAATAATTGAAGAAGAAAAAATCAACATTTTTGTCATTAAAAGTACGCTTTTTTGCTCCGTTTATTAAACTGACTCTTTCATGCCACTTCTCCCCTACAACCGACTTTAATATAAATAAAATGATAACATCATCAAGAAGTCAATTACATATGTTAAGGATAACTCCAAAACTACTGGTGAGATATTTATATGGGATAATTAATATAATTGATCAATTTTATATGGGACTACATGAGAAGCACCAGAATTCAAAAAAAAAAAGAAAAATTAAAATCGGTTCACCTAGAAATAAGTTCTGAGGTAACACACTAAAAAAATACAGTCGAGGACCTCCTCCTTTATTGAAGTCGGTTAAAATGGTAAGTAGGAAAATTATCTGAGTTTATTATATTAACCTTCCTAACATTGAATGTTCTTATTATCAGTAAAGTACTAATAAAATTCATAGAATACTATAAGACATACATAATAGCACGGGGGACTGGGCGGAGCCCATTAACATGTCAATTCACACCTATAAATGTCAACACGATCGATCGTTTCCAATTTTTGTGTTAATTGTCACTGCATGCAAATTATTTAAAAAATGGCAAATTGTGTAATAATTACGTGTCGAAAAAAAACAGCGGGAAATGGAATTTAAATAAAGAAGACATATTCTACAACCAGTAAGTCGAAACTATTTATATTTTGTGAATATTAGAAAAAAAAAAATAAAGAAATATTTATGTGTCAAAAACATTAATCAAAAGTCTAAAATGTGTTTGTAGTAGTGATAAATGATAATACGACGTATTTGCTTGTATGTGTGCTCCCGGCGACGCCGATCCTCGTACAAAATAAGGTTGACAGCCATTCTATTGTGTATTATAGTATTCTATGATAAATTGCATAACACCTCGGTGTATTCTACCCCAATTAATATCAAAGGATTCAATTTGTTTTCTCACAACACCTAACCCTACAGTAAGAGCGGCCTTAACAAAAGCGCGTAACGGGCTAAGTGATACAGACACTCGCACGCGGACGTAAAGTGCATTTTGATTTAATGCGCGCGAGGAATTTTTTTTTTCGACGATTTAATCGGTAGATTTATTTTACGAAGGTCGCTTCTGAGGCGTTCAAAGTATTATGAACAGTAGCGACGTTGTAACTAGGTTTAAACTCGCAAGTTGTCTATCAGAGAGTGATCCTTCTGTTCTTGTACTATTATTTATTCTGTGGCTTAACTTATTTTTGAAGGTATGAAACTCAGCATACCGTTCTTTTCATTTGGTGCTCATTTCTTCTTTCATTGAACTCTTATTTTAGATAAGGTTTTTCCAATAACAATTTAAGCAGATGTATTGAAGTACTGCAAATATGCACACTCGCACTTAGGCTTGGCGGATATATATTTTTCTTTTATTTTACTATTTTATGTCCGTGTTTTTATTTTCTTACTATAATATGACACTGAGCTTCGGTCGATCTCTAATGGTAGAATTGAAAAGTATCATTCATTATGAATATTTCATCAAGCTTTCATCGCGAGGAAAACCATATTATATTTTTGCGTTACCATTGCGTTTTAAGTTTGGAGTTCATGTGCTTTAAATATTTGATGATGGTATAATCTGAAGTTTGTAGGTTGTAAAATAAAACCACAGTGTTTATATGGGATTATATATTTTGTAGACATTATAAAGCAACATTTACATTACCATAAACGAGTTTTATACCGTCGCAAGTGCGCCGGACTAAAACTATTCGAATGTAACAGTACATCGTAACAAGTCTCGCTCGCGGCATCTTGGCCGCACTCAATACACATTTGCTCCTCACATAAAAAAACGTACACCACAAATACTGAAAGGGAGAACAGAGATTAATAATTGTATACTTTACATTAAATGTACTTATACACTAACTAACCACGAGCCTACGTTGCCCCACGACCGGGGCGAAACCGCACATTTTAAATATCAATTCGTAAATATTTAGGTATTACATCGTTAAAGAATAAAAACAGAATAAAGACTAGACTTTACACTGATCAACGACAAAATGGCTAACAGCAACATATCGCGTGTGGCGCCGCTCTGCGGGCAGTGGGGACAGCTTCAACTTAAAAATAAACGCGCGCCGCGTTGGCACTGGCAACACGCACCCAAATACACTATATTCATATAATGTTGCCAGCGAATTAACAAGAGTCTGTGCTGCCAGTGCGTTACTCAAATAACTGAGCGAACAAATAATATAGCATCCTTAAAACGTAACATGTGACCAAGTTGCGCCACCGTCCGCAGAGATTATATAAATATATACACTACAAAACTTGATACCTACTCAATAAATTACATATAAATAATCTGAATTTAAAACAAATCTTAGGCTTCTGATTAACATATTGTTTGTTGAGTACCGTCACGTATCCTATTTGCACTACGTTTAAACATCTCTGCACATCACAACTTACTATCAAATAAAAAAATTACTGGGTACGAATCACTACCTTTCGTACACGTGAAAGGCTAAAAAAAGCTCCTTCCAAAAACAAATTTCATAATTGAATTTCAGGCTGAAAGTAACTAAATCTCAGTAAGACTGTTATGGGCAGAGATAAAGGAACAGGAAAACAAATATTTACAAATAAACGTAGCCATAAATAAGCCCGCTAGAGATATGAACGCAAGTAAGCCCCCATTTGTACTGGCAGGGATATGTATTTTGTATGACATCGAATAGTTATATTGCATGTTATTCTTATCTTTTTCATCAATTTTATATAACGTTATTATAGTAGAGAAAAATTTAATAATTTACTTCAAAATTTGATTAATAATTTATAAACATCCACTTCATGTTTCGTCAGAAAGGTAGTGAACTAACTACACGGAGAAAATGTGTAAATAACTATTATTAGAGAAAAGCGCAATTCCAACAACACGATAGCCAAAACCCTTCCAATTGTATATTTTTTTGAAATGGTCCATTTTTGGCACATTATCGTCCAAATATGTGTAAATAATACTATGCAACGCGTCACATGGCAACATCCAACGCTGCTTTTGCAGGGCTACCGCATATTACATATTTTAATTTGTTAAATTATTCTTATACATTTTTTGATGACGCAATACTACGCCTTTTTACAGTAGCCCCACATTATGTCCTGTTTCAAATGTTCGTATAGGCGACATATTGACCAATCATGCATGTTCAATTTTTTAATAAATTTATCGTAAAATTAATAATACTTTTTGTGTAATAATAATGAGTTATGCATGCCAATAAGAAAAATTAGAATTAACTAATATAAAGCCTCTTGGAATTTTATATCAGTCTAGTAGATTTAATGTGCATTTTACAAGCTAATTTATAATTTTCATGCCACCAGCCAAACATTTAAAACAGGAAAACGCAAAATCACCTCCTTACTATTAACATCTTTGGTACATATTTGTGAGCAAAGACAATTGATTACATTCTGTAAGTTTGAGTATAATATGACAAGCCTTAAAGCGATAACGCGGATACGCCATATTCTCTACACCGAATACTGTCGTTGCCAATAAATTAGAATGAACGTTATGTTTCTCATATAGATTTCATATTCCTTCGATTCACGTTTTATTACGGCCGATCGTAAGGACCTTAAGGCGATCACTGGAATGTTCACATCGACATCAACAAACCCAAATATTTCCACGGCACGGCTAGGCCACAAAAATATATATTGCTTTCGTTTAAGCGTATTAAATCCGAGTAGGTACGACAATTATTTTGTACTTACACGAACACATCTAAACACGATAAAATATGTTTATTTATAGTTAAATATATATGTATTTATAGTTAAACAACCTAAGTCCCCGTTTTCGTTGTCTTGAACGGACAGCTGTGTTGATATATTATATACACACTACGGGGTCACACCAATCAATTAATTATAGAATTAGATTTGGAATACATCTACACAGTCTGTTTACGCGGCAAAAGGATGTCAATAATATTTCATACCAATTTTCTTGTATTTCGCGACAGATTACTGAAATATTGATGGAAATATTTACGTAAAATATTGCGAGAAAAAAATACGTTTTGATGACGCAAAAATGCAAAACGATGGTAATGATAAATATGGATTAAATTTGTCGAGACATCCAAGAAAATTTTCCAGCTGCATGTAATCTATTGGCCACCTCGACCGGCATATGTAATATTTCGAATGAATAAATTTATTTTAACGATATTGGGGATTGATATTAAATTTTCTATTGCAATTTGCTATTGTGCTATTGTTGCAGGATGGTTTACATTGTAAATATAGAATTAGAAGTATTAAAAACCCCATTAACTTTCAATTTCACAGATAATAAATAATAAAAAAATGTTGATGTGATTCTAAAAAAACAATAAAACCGTAATTTTTATTGGTTTAATATTTTGATAACTAATAATTTTTAATATAACCAGTGGTGTAAGAAAACCCACTACAGCTGCTTTGATTCGGTTAGAACGCAGCGAAGGATCACTCATCACACTTGGGGATAACATCGCAACAACAAAATACATCGAGATTTCTCTCCGCAGCTCCGCAAGGACGTCCGGTCATTCCGGACCTACGCTCCCGAGAAGCCGTACACTTCGAGCACTCTTATCTCGAAGTCGCCACTTGGACACAACGGCGGGTTGTTGAAGGTAGAGCAGCGGTCAGTCTTGCCGAACCTAATGTTTTCGTCCATCCATATCGCTTGACCCTCACTGTAACATGGGTTATTATTATGATAATACTGCTTTTTAAAGTTTTAGTATAGAAAAAACGACAAAATGTTAATATTACAGAATGGATACCACTTCATAACAATAGACTACATTTCAAATAGGGATAAGAAATTGAATTGTTAGAAAGTGGGTTGTAATCATTATGCAGAAAAGAGCCATAAGAACAATTTATAGCTTAAGTCCGAAGTATTCCCTTAGACAAAAATTCAAAAAAATAAATATATTAACTATGACTTCTCAGTATATTTACGTAAATTTAATGTATATACGAAAAACAAAAATATTTTTATTAAAAATAGTGATTTACATTCTGTAAATACTAGGAACAATCACAAGATATTTATTCCAGTTACTCAACTCCAAAGAGTCAGTAATTCCTTCATGGGCTAATCTATACGCTTTTACAAAAATATTCAGGCCTTATCTATGAAAAGGTTTTAGATTTTTACTAAACAAAAATTGTTTGTTAATAAATAAAGTTTATTATACTACTAAAAAATTGTTTGTTACTAAATAAAGTTTATTATACTACTAAAAAATTGTTTGTTACTAAATAAAGTTTATTATACTACTAAAAAGTACATGACCGATAATAACCCTTGAGATTATTAATAATTATACAAATGAGGTGATCGCTACCATACTGTTTCTAATGTTTTCTTACTAATTATATAAAATAATATATTGTATTATATTTAAAAAAGTTTTTTTTCCGAACCAGTGGTAAAAAAACATTATATGTAATCTATACTGAATAAAAATATTTTTTTTTATTATATTCTATGCCACCAGTTCTTAACTGTACTAATATTTTCAAATTGTAATATAATAGCAAAAATTATAAAATGGCCACATTTTAATGATATCTTGAATTTTTAAGTTCTCAGCCTTAATCAAAAGATCACAATTCTGAATACAGGCCTCCTCGATAGATTATCTCCTATCTACCTCCTACTATATGTGCCATAGTTGCTACGTCTAGCAGGTTGGTTGGTAACTGCAGTTTTTTATAATTAATTTTTATCAGCAGTTACTGCTGCCCAGCTCCTGTTTTTTCCTGTGTTGACACCTTGTGTTTTTGCCTCATGACACTCACGGGATGATTTACAGTGGTCAATTCTTTGTTCATATTAGGCTCATTTAAATCTATTTACGAAACTCAATAAGTCCTCATACACTTTACGTGTAATTGGAGGGTACAAAAATCTTCAGAGCAAGACTTTCCCCATCACCCCGTCGTTCTTGTGGATGTCATAAGGGAGGCATTTAAAGAAATGTTAGGGAGTTATAGTAGCTTCTGAGAAATGACGAAATAAAAATCTCAAAGATCTACAATCTATGTAAGTATCTCTTGATAGCTCTTAATAATGTTGACATAAATTCCCAGATCGGCGACGTGGGTTATATATCTAATATAGTTCTTGCAATTCACCAAGTCGGCCGGACTGTACTCGTGGTCGTGATTGAACGTGTACATGCAATGCATGTACATGCATTGTGTTAGTGTGTGCGTGTTTGACGGGGCGAACAGTTTAACGACTTGCGAGTGTGCCGTCGCTAACCATACCCGCTTTTGGTCTAACTTTAACAAGTATACAGATATGTTTACTACAAGTAAAGGAGCTCGACTTGTCGACAGACTGTGGAAGATTGTTTGCCCTTATAAGAAGTCCTCCACATTCTCTTGACAACCTATTTAAATACCCGCAAGCGTTGACTGACAGATTAGGTTTTTAAAAATTACTGATGGCAACGGAAAATCCATCTTCCAACTTTACAAAAACTAGCTAGAAGCAGCCTTGATAAGAGTATCTACGTTCACTCTCTTCTTGGCCAGCATGGTGAAATGCCTGCATACCAGCAGGCGCATTTTTTTAAATGTAGTGTTGGGACCACTTAATACTCGCAGGAAATTGTGAAGAGTAATATTTCTATTCGTTTAAAATACGTGTCTGTCGGCCGATGTAACACTGTTTTGTATTAGGCACTCAGTTGTTACAAATAGCTATAGAATATGAATGTCTATTCTAAAGAAAATTCTAATAGCCTCAAATTAATACGAGACCACAACCAGCACCCGACATACCCTCCTCCGATGGTTATCATGGTGTTATCTGCGGCCATGAAGAGCGAGTTCGCGTGCGGCGTCTTCGGCTCGCCCTCGCCTTCCTCCTGGAGGCAGCCGACCCACGGGTACTTGGCTCTCACGGGGTGCAAGCTGAAAGGTGAGGTAGTGAGGAACTGACCCGCCGCCGATGGTGATCATCTTGGAGTCGGCGGCCATGAACAGCTCGGAACCGTGGGCCACGCGCTGCTCCTCGACGCGGGCCTCCCCGCCACCCGCGCCCGCACCCCCGCCCGCGCCCGCCGAGCACCCCACCCACGGATACTTCGCGCGCTCCGGGTAAAGGCTGCAATACGCATATTGTCTAATCCTCACGCTACACACTGCTCCTAGGGTTGCCAACTCAACATACAGTAATTTACTTTATTACGAACCCTTACTGCTTCATAAATTAAAAACATTTATATTTATTTATGTTCCAAATGATGTTCATGTAAGGAACTTAATTTTTAAAGTATGAAGTTTTTGATTAATTTTCTTTAAATGTTGTATATTTGAGTATAGTGTAGAAAATCTGCTATCATTTTAATAATTATATTCTATTAGAAGGAAGCTGCAGGATAGCGTAAATTCATATTAACCATTTCACAATCGTGTGTCAGATATTATTGTTAAACTATTATGTCTTTTTCGCGAATAGTATTTAATGTGAACGAGAATTTTTTAACTAAAAATATAATTGATTTTTGCAGAAGTCTTCTTCTGTTTTGACCCATCACAAAACCTAAAAATACCAAAGATTTAAATAGTTTAGATGCGCCCTTAGCATAGTATGACCACTCCGAAATGTGTCTATTCTCAAATGAGTGAGCTCACTCATTCGCAAGCATTGCTCATTTGTGCGCTAACCAAAATATGCTATTATATTATTCTATGCTAACCAAAATAAGAGGTCATCACTATTGTAGAAACTATGTGTGTTTTCAGTTATTCCGATTCGCCGTCATTTAAATCCTTAAAAAAATGTCACTAAGCTAAGTTACATTTTTAAGGGTTTCAATAACATTTTAAGTCTACCTATACTACTAGTATAGTATATTACATTATATTACTTGTAATAAAAAAGTTGGCCACCCTAGTATATTGCAGGTAGTGCGTGATGAATATTCTACAACATAGACTGCACACGACGTAAAGTGTTCATAATCAATTCTCCTAAAATTTAAAAGCATAAAAAGTTCGATTTTCATATGTATGTATTTAAACCACTACGAAAATTTAGATTTTCTAAATATTTATTACTTTAACATTTGGGATATAATATAGGTCACATCACTCCTGGAATCTAATAGTAAAATATGGAAATCACACTTAAAGCTACATTTATCAACTAAAATTACAAAATCACTAAACATTAATTATTAACTTCAGAAATCAAAAATAAAAAGATAAGGAAAAAGAAAGAGACTCGTATTCTAATATTAACTAGCAACATTCAAAAAGTTAAAAGAAGGCATTCCAAGGAAAGGTGTAACATTATAAGAGTTTAGATTAAAGAAAAAAAGAGGTTGAACGGAAAAATAAATTGTAAGAAGTAAGAAAAAAGTAGTAAAGTACAGTTAGTAAAGTATTTTCGGTTATAATTTTAATTTTGCAATATTTATATGAAAGGTTAAATTTATAAATATAAATTATATAAAAATCTTGGCAAATATATCATATATATATATATATATATATATATATATATATATATATATATATATATATATATATATATATATATATATATAACTTGAGCTCTTTTATATAAAAATATATAATTTAAATACAAACATATTTTTTGGTAAATATGATATACGTAATATATAATGAATATAACTGAAAAAAAAGCAGTAATTATAATTCGATATTATTATAATTCGAGATTAATAAATCGGATCTACATATACATAATTATATTTAAATACATAAAATATAATACACATATAAAGATAAATATTACTCTCCTACAGGAATATTTTGTACTTTTGGATAATATAATTTTTTATTGAATACATTTTAATATATCGTCGATTGATCTAAGACAAATAAAATATAAAAAGCCAGTGTGCAGCCAAACATTAAGAATAAGCTCTACCCGAAGCGCCTGAAGTATATATAACAAGCCTCATATTAAACGAATCCCTCACAGAGTCATATGAAAGCATACTACGTATACATTTCAAAGGATAGGTAATAAAAGAAAATAATATGTAGCAATCAAATAAGTTGAAAATTTTATAAAATATTATGTTGTGAGGCTTGTTATATCTGAACTTAAAACAATACAACTCTGACTCCGGAAATTATAATTAAGGAAAACAAGTGTTCACTTTTCCACATAAAAAATAAATTTTAAGTCCAGATTGTGGAAATAATAAAACTACACATTTCTAACACATAAAATATTATACTATATACAAGAAAAGACAGTTCGTTTTTTAAAAATACCAGACTAAGTTTACAATTACTAATGTCAAACTTGAAAATATTGTTGCTACATTTATTAGCATGTGGTATCCCTGAGGTTATTTTAAATCTGCTTTGAGTGTGCATTACATTTTTATAACACAGTAGTGACTGACAAACTTACAGTCCGCCTGAGGGAGGGACTAACTAGCTACTACAACGAATGAACAAACATCATTAAACAAAGAAGGCTTCGTGGTTCTCCCTTGAGAACTCAGATGGAATACCCCACAGCTTGTATGCTGGCTCTGTATACAATTCAGACCGGAAGACATCAGTGCAGACACTGATATTTGACGGAAATAGCTAAGAGGATTGTGGCTACTAAGACAGACTAATCACAGTAATCCTAACACCTAGTATGTTTACAATAGAGGGTAGTATTAAATAGTTAATCTTACATTCAATATAATACAATTAAAACTATTTATCATTGCTCAACGAATTTACTTTAAAATCCACTTGCCAAATAAAAGTAGAAAACAGATATTTCATTCGTTCTATAACAATTTTCATTTTATTTACCGCATGCTCATTACTTTCCATTATGTATTTTTAAAATATTATCTCATACGGTTTTACGATTCAATCCGATTACTACACAAAACTATTTACAAATATGCTAAAAATGTAGCAACACATTATGAAATGTTGTCATTTTAGTCTCTGGAATTAAAAACGAAGTACCGGTATTTAAGTTAACGTAATATAATTATTTAAATAAAAATACAACTCCACAATTACAAGTTTTAAAGAAATAACGAAAAATGAAAGACACCAAAAAATTAACGTTTCACGTTGTAATGAAATTTTTATTGTGAAATGTATAAGATGACGTACATAATATATATAAAGTGTAAAGGTAAATGAATCTGAAAGCAAGAAGATTGAAAAAGAGAAATAAATTATTGTGATGAACATGACGAAATATTATTTATTTATTTACTTGTAAATGTATTTTTAAAATATCACAGCGTAACTGTATTAAGGAAATATTAATTTAATAAAAGAATTAGGAAATACTAAGATTCATTACAAATGTTTATATAAGTTTAACTGCAAAATAATATATTAAAAGGTTCATAATACTTTTCGAAACTCTATGTAACTTAAATAAGGTCAAATTTGTAATTTTCAAAATTTTAAGTGCAAAAAATTAGAGCTTTTTTTTTGTTTGAGTGAACATTAAATATTAATACTAAAGGCAATATTTTTATTTACGTTTTACACTAAACGCAAATTCTTTGTGAGATGTGTCTATTACCTGAAGAGGAATGTCTCTCCGGTGCCGAAGTACGCCTGCCTGTTACCACGTTCGTCCTTCTGGTTGCGCTCGAACCACCGCGTCGAGCAGTACGCACCGAACACCTGCGAACGTGTGCGTTTAGCTTGAGACAAAGAGAAAGGCCTTTTGGATTATTAAGGAGAAATATCAAAAAACAAAAGACCACTGATGAAAATAGGCCTCCCCCATAGATTATCTCATAGGTGGGGTGTATACCATAATTGCCACACTGACAAAAGAGACACGAGATAGTGGATATTCTTACTCCGCCACTACACGGTTATATTTAAAGTCAATGAATAGATATTTTAAGCTATTGCATAGCTTCTATCGCGGGCCTTGAGCGCGGGGACCGAATCCAGAAATTCCGTAACGAAAAAAAACCCTCACGCTCCCCACTCCGACGGGCACGGAGGTGTGGCGTTGAAAGCCGTGCATCGTCTAACGTCGTTTCAGTTCGGCAGACATCGGCACTTTTTTGTTTTCTGTTTCTTTAGCAAATTGTTTTCTTATCGGAAAAGACAGACTTCGGCATGCAGGTACTTCGGGTGGACGTTCGGTACAACTGTGTAATAACTTCTGCAGTAGCAAAAAACGTAAATTCTGGACATGGTTCTCTCTCGTGGTGGGGAGGACTGGTCTTATCGTCATGCTTTGCAGACGGATTGCAGTATCATATGTTATCTCACACACAGCATTGATATACGAGAACGTCAAAGAAGAACCGGTGAGATACCTCACCGTTTTTACCGTTACAGCCTATTAGAGTCCACTGCTGAACATAGGCCTCCTCCATAATGTCTCGGAATGTTTGCCATAGTTGCAAAAATTGGCAAGAGGGAAGGCCACCGCAGTGTTTTATTTTTAGTCGTTATTAGGAATACCCTGTTGTCCATCTCTTGATTTGTTTCCCTATGTGGCCTCTTACGACACCCACGGGATGATATGGGGGAGTGGATATTTTTACACCGCCGCTACACGGTAATTTTTCTATATTTAGATTTTTTCATTCTTTTTTTTTTTAATTTGTTGTTTATTTATATCTCTACCCACATTATTTGTGATATTGTCACCTGCTATCTAAAACGTCATTATAGAAGTCTTTGTCCAGCAGTGGAACACATTAACAGTGAAAGATTCTCACCTTATCCTCATCATCATTTTTAAAAAGTTTATAGTTGAGAGGAATATTGTTTTACCACTATTTTATAAAAGTATTTTCTTTTAAACTAACTGTAACATATTGAACGTTAAGTATAACCAGCATTGTTAATTGTAAGTGGTGAGGGTACTTAAGTTCATAGAAAAGACGTTTATGTTCGCTAGTTTTCTAAAACTGCCTAACTGGAACATAGGTCTTATGGAAGTGCTCCTATATACTCAGTCTTTATATACTGGGTGATTTTTTTACCGTTTAGAAAAAACGGAATACGAGTAGAAGCCTATGGCACTTATATTTTACATTTTTTTTACATTTACAGATTATGAAATAATTGATCTAACAATAAATACCATTAAATGGGTGCGTATTATTTTAATTTTGATATCTTTTGATTTATTTAGTTCAAATTTTGTTTTTATTTTTTTTACCGAAAGTTTATTTCAAATTAGTAGTATCTATTGATAGTTCAATTTCATAACACGTTAATGTAAAAGCAAAGAATCCGTGTCATAGCCTTCTATGCCGTTCACCTGTTACACCCTATTTTTTCCAGACGATATACCGATTGCGCCGAGAACATTACACAAACAAGCACACAAAGCACCCGGCAGTTGAATGAATGCTATGGCCCTAAGGCCAGTCTAAACTACATGTATCTTCGGTAATCAAAATTCAAATGCGTTGTCACCTCTGAGAACTGAGATGGTACTGCCTCCTTACCAGTAAAAAGACTACGGTTTTATCACTCAACGTATGAGAAATTGTATTCTGTGCGTTATACACACAAATACTTAAGCGCTGCTCAATTTAAATATGCCGTTAAATCTCGTGCTGTCTCTATCACTTTAAGTCAAAGTACTCATAACTCTCGTAAAAGTCTAACCCCTTATTCATAAAAAAAATTAAACAATTGATTAGTTAAATAGTGTTTTGTCTCATTCTACCATTTGCGATACACTTGTTGCTAGAAAGTGACAAAACACTATTTAACTAATCAAGTGTTTATGAATAAGGGGGTAACAAAATAAACTGCTTTAAACTTATGATTAAAAAATTGCTTTAAAAAAATCTTACCTCGTTGTTGCACGTTTTTATCATAAGCAACGTAGGCTCATGATGCTCCACTCGCACGTAAAACGTGGTAAGTGAACAACCGTGCTCCTCTGTTGTGTACAAGAGCACCGGTTGGTACATCGTGATACGTACTGGCAGCCACGACCACAACGTGAACAGCTGGAATGCACATTAACATGAAAGGCGACGAACAGGTGACGAGACGAATGAGAATGATCTACTAGATGATACTATCTAAGTTATAACTTGTTCAAGCTACATTTGTACTCGACTAAGAATGATATGATTTGAAACTACAAAAAACTTTTAATGTTTAAAATTAATTTTGAGTGATGTAAATAATACGATAAACGTAACACGTAAAACCATTGAAACAAGTAAGACTTCATATAATTTGATCGTAAAAATTTTCTAAAGCGAACACTAGTACAACGTATGAAAACAGAATCGTAGGGACTTAACATAATATGTACTTATGTAAATGAATTTGACAAACATTAAAAACAAAACACGACACTAAATTAGTTGTGTCAAATTAGTTGACGACTAGGGTGCTGAGTGCATGTGTCCGACTCCTTATAATACAACATTGAATGTGATACGAGCTATAAATACAGACAAATCGCATGCAATATTTACTTTTGAAAAAAGTATATAAAAATTAAAATATATATACTACTACAATTATCTAACTTAATCTCATGAACCAAGTCAACGTTCAAGTATTGATACATCGTGAATTCAATAAAAACCAATGTAGTTGTTGATAATGTAAGAAACTTGAATGCGTTGCAAATGGTTTAGAAGACAGTACTTTTAAGAGTGAAATGTATCTACGTATAAAGATAAATTTTCTATACGTATAAAACTAGCACCGCAAACAATATATAATAATTACGTAAAATAGAGACAAATGTTTATGTAAAAATATCAAATGGTGAGTTTTATTTTTACAATTAGTGTCTACATTTACTACGATTATCCGCAAAAGTGTCGCGGTGACATTTATAACTGCTTTCTGTTTGACGTTATGCATAGATTTTAGCAATTTAGTATTTAAAGAACAATTAATATTTAAAACAAAAAATGTCTAGCACATTGCAGACTTTGACTAAAAACATTCCCAATTACATAATGAAAATAATAAGAGCACATTGCTAAATAAAACTATAAGTAGTGCAACTTTAAGCGTTATGTACGACTAAGTAAAGCCATAGGATTTGACAGTGAAAAATGCAATATGACGTCTTTCCAATGCCGCCGCGACATCTGCATCCCAAGTTAGTGATATTAACATCAACCCTAGTCCGGCAAACCTTTTGCCTGAGGTCAGAAGAGTGCTGGCGCTGGTCCTTGAACACCGCGTTAGGGAATGGAAACCACAGGGCCAGGTGAGAGGATCGTGGGCTCTGCGAACATCGGGCTGTATAATGTGAATGATGGTAATAGTGCCATAACGATAAAAGGAATTAACGGGTTTGTGTGACGTTGTGAATATTTGCTTTTTGCTAGGGTTGTAAGTGATATGGTATCGTCGATAAGTGATAATGATGACGTACAATCTGTTTATGCATTATCCATGTTAATAACGTAATATGAACTTATATAACATGCCTTACCAGTTGAATATTATATTTAATGTAAGACCATAAAATTTGTTTGACGTAATTTATGGATGGATTTTTTGCACGTGAAAAACCTCGTTGACCTTTGTACGACAATAACAACAAAATTTCGTATTTTATAGAAATATTTTAACAATATTTAGTTTTTTAAATTTTCACGATACAGTTTTATGGAACACCTGTTCTACAACCTACTCGAACGCTGCTGGCGCATTTTCCGACGATAAAAACTATATACTTTTCACCTGTGTTATTTTTACATGAGGAAATAGAAAGATGTCACACGGTACTAAATCAAGGCCGTAATGAGAGTGACTCAAAAGGTTAACAGGTAGTAGTCGTTTTTAAACTTTTAATGCTATGCGGGCGCGTTGTCATGGTGAAGCAAGTAGCCAACGGAGTCTCTTGTACAGTCGCTTATTGCGTTAACAATAAAAAGTGGAGGGAAATTTGAAATTGGCAAATACGTATTTTTACTTCCAAATTAAGTAATTTTCAAAATTATTTAAAATATCTTGCAAAACTTTTTTCGAAAAACTTTCTGCGTATCTATCGTGTAAGCATACGCTTAAATGGATAATTGTAACTCATCAAGATCAAAATGTGATGGTATGAAATGAAAATGGTGATGAAAATACAAAATGGAGAAAATTTTAATAACGCGTCTTAGGGTTGATGCTCCTTATTATTTGAACAATTGATTTATTTGTTTAGCTTAAACTTATAATAATGACTGTAAAGATACCATATTTTCATTTTACATTTATAACCATGAAAGAAAATGTGTTTTTTTTTTAATTTCATGCATATTTCTATGGTTGATACAGACTGTGAAATTTTTGATAAGTTATTACAGTTATTACAATATAAACAAATGGAAGAACCAGTGTCTGAATCAACCATTGCATATTTAACGACGTTATAAAATAGCAAATTATAAAAACAACAAAAATCGAAGCGACGACGTCAATCTTGGAGGATCTTGTAAGCTTGGCTATAAATGATATAAAAAAACACCTAAGTATTAAGCAGTGCATCAAAACATCGATAAGGTCGCAAGCTACCAACAGAGCGACACTTAGGGTTTGTGACTTAATACTACTTAATCTTACTTCGCTCTGGTCTAGAATCTGCGACTTGATCGCTTGAATAGGGTAAACGCCCATCGATAGGGCGCGCGGGCCCGGCGAATGTGAGCCCTAACGGGAAAATCGACACACTGTTAGCGCACTCACACAAAACAATCGACAACATGCCATCGTTACATCACTATAATTGATGCCCTATCAACGAATGTTAATAATATAAAGCTATATTCATTGGCTGTTACTGAATATATTTACGATTAGTAAAAATTTAAAAAAAGAAACTTATCTCACAGGCATGCGAAATTTCGCAAAAAATCGTTATTATAAATCTGATGATGTCAGTCACTTCACAAAAAGAAAAGACGCTTAGAACAATGAAGGACACATAATAATAATAACAATAAATCTGACATTAAAAGCCGGTGAAATGAACGTTCATTTTAAGAATCGCTCTTCGCAAAATAAAATTCAAATCTCGTGAAACAGATCCTGAGTGGAATGATCACATCAAAAGAGCACAACACCGTCATCCACAAATCTCTCGCTACACAGACTGAAAAGTAACATAACTTCGTGTAACGGAACATACAAAGGATGTATCTTACAATAGATCTACACTATGGTCTATACTTTCATCGGATCTGTACTCGAATCCGATGCGTCTGAAGTTAGTCATGTTAGAAACGCAATTGAATGAACTTATGAAAAAGAAAAGCGAAAGCCACGCCTAATGCTGTCGTGTACGATACCATTTGTTTGCACGTTTCCTCAGACATTCTCTGCAAATCAAGTAAAATAATTTCTAATACACAATACATTAATTATATTTCCTTTAAGGTTGAGTTTCGTATGTTGCGTGTGTGTGCAGTGTTCGTTTAACATTGCGGACTCGTGTAGGTTACATAAGTAATAGATCATGAACCCAATATATTATTAGTTGAGATAGTTGTAAATCTATCAAATGTCCATTTGTTCTCAAATGTAAAAACAACGCTGTTGTAAAAATATGAGTATGAGAATCAGATCATTATCCCATTTTTCACATCATATATCAATTGAAAATGAGTTTTAAAAATTTACTCATAAATTATTAAAGCATAAAAAACATTGTATAGATTTATTGTTTCTCGTTATACAAGAATTGGAGTCGATTGTATAATGAATAATTTGTCAATCAGTCTTACTGATAGGGTTTGTAGCAAGATTACTGCACTCACCTCACGGATGGTGAGCGTGTGCGACATCATCTGGATGTTGACTTGCGACTGGCTGGTGGGCAGGTTGTCGGAGGAACGCGAGCGAACCAGCCGCGACCCGGTTATCACTTGCTTCGACTTGAGAGTCATCTCCGTCTTTATGAAGACCCGTGATATGTACTGTGAACTGTTAAAAGGTTTCGTTAGTGGTATGTATGTATTCCACAGCAGCTCTATTATATTTATCGAGTAGTAACGTCATTCTTTTTTTATAGAAGTAGGCTGACAAACGAGCACACAGTTTACCTGATGGTAAATGGATGCTGTGGCCCATAGACATTTTTGAGATAGATTTTCTGTTGCACATATTTCTTTAAGTTTTATTGATTACGAACCAAATTTTTAGTATATGATTTTTGACTATATGACCTAGGATTTCATAAAAGGAAAACACAATAACGTGTAATTTTCTCGATAGAAAAAATTGCAAAATAGGCTCTAATTAGTTTCATTTTTCCATGACACCACAATGTTTTTACGAAAAATTCATGGAATTATTTTTAAGGCATAATATATAATCATATCTAAGTTCTCGTAAACCATTTTTTCAGTCCATAACAAAGTTTTAAAAAAAATTTTGTTTGGCGCTTACATAGTTTTCTTCCGAGCGCGTGCTCGGTACTATCTACTATCTATCTCATATTTTGCGTATTATGAAATCATTGCATCACTTTCATTTTGATACTCCCTCAGTTTCACGGCAAGTGGATAAACCGACAAAGGGATAAGCCACGCCCCCAAAACTACGATTAATTTTCCAGGTATCCTCTTAAGAATCAAAACGCAAATGCGTTGTCACCTCTGAGAACTAAGATGGAATGCCTCGTTTCCAGTAAAAAGGTTCTCCGGTTCTCTACACTCTACACTCAGTATTAAGCTGCTATTTTACGCCGGTATTCTGTAAGAGCGTGGTCCTTCCCGGTCCAGCCAACCCATTCGTGCTACATCCATAATATAGCTGCAGCGTGGCTCTACCACGTATTCTTCCTCGACACCCACGGGACGATATAGTAGTGGAGTTGGTGACTCTAATGTAGACGTCTAAATATATCTAAGTACAAACCTTAAAGCCCTTATGCTGAAAGCGGTCCTGAGCAGTTTCGTCGGCGATGATGGCATATTCCTGCAGAATTTGTCAATAGCGTGGTCGACGCCATTCTTGGTGGCTTCGGCGTACCACTCGGAGTTCGTGTTGGTGGAGTGTTTATGAAACAGAATAAGGATAGCCAACGCTATTCTGTAGAATACCTGAAAATAAAAGAAATAAAAATCTTGGCCTTTATTTTGGTTAACTAATGAAGAGTGCAGTGCTCAGTTTTGTAGTTTAACTGTAATAAAATAAAACCTGTTACAACTTTTTACAGATTTAATTGTATACATATCGAATACTATTTTAATGCAAACCTGTAAGTGCGTTTTAATATAATGAAATAGTTTTCACAAAAGAGACATTCAAAAAGTATTTTTATGATACAATACACTCAATAAAAATAATCTATATGCTTAAGACCTACCTTGATCCCCTCGTTGAAGAAACAATCCAGCACTCGTACGAGATGAGGGAAGGGCAAAGCAGCCAAAATCCACCACTGCCAGTCGGCGTAGATGCGCTCGGGGCCGATCGCGGCGGACAGTCGCGAGAGGTGCTGGGCGGCCGACTTCTGCAACCAACGCGCGTTACAGGAATTGATTTCCCCGCCCGCTGTTTACGTGTATAAAGTTTGGCGTTCTGGAGATCACGTGCATTATAATTTACAGTGCTTTTTATTAATCGAATGCCTCGTTGCTATAGTGTCCGAATCCCCGGTCTAGCCAGAACTACGCTTTTAAAGAAAAGCAGTATAACGCAGCAGCATTAATTTTTTTCATTAAATTATTCAATACAAATTGGAAAACATAGCTTTGTTTATTTAGACGTCGATATACCATGATGTGTCTCTAACAACTAGACAATCTGTGTTAGAGACACATCATGGTAGATGGGCCTGTGCTCATCAAGGCTCTGAGGCAGTGGCAATCGAAGGAGGGCGACTATCGCAATTAGTCAAAAGATCAACACACTTATTATAAGATGACAGACATCTTATGATCGGTTATCCTTTGACAACAACAAGATTAATAAAATTTTAAAAATACATCTAGAAGACATAAGCCACAGTTTCATACAGCTTCGCTCAACACAAAGTTATATCATCGATTTGTAATTCTCGAGTCATTAACCCGGCGAGGGAGGGAATCGTTACTTGCGGTCAGTACCATCGCCTCTAGCCTTTAGGGCCGATACCGTTATCAAATGTTTATAGCGACGTGAATGCGGTCGGTAATTTTGACGTGTCCTTTGTCTTGTCTTGTTTTGTTTGATTAGTACATGTCGTTCTCAAAGTTATATAATTTTAACATTTTATTTTTTGTAGTTTGCCTATTTAGATGATTGTTTCACATTAGAAATGCACGAGAGTCAATTTATTTACGATAGTTTAAAGCGACCATCAGGATCATCACCACTACACCCATTTTATATCACATTAAGAATAACAAGCGAGCACATAGTCCATCTGATGGTATAAATACTGTGGTTCATAGACACTTATATCTATCGTCAGTTAAAAATCTCAATGCAATTACGTCGTCAGTCACCTTGAAGTCTAAGATGAAAAGCCACGGTAAGTACCGGCAAAATGGGTCTAGGTTTCTCTTCCGTGAAGCCTTCGAGGACAGTTGTCCCAACTGTTGTTGAAAAAAGAGTGTTGTCAAACCCAAGACCTCAACACGAAAAGTTTCTTGGTGGAATTCTAAGCTGAAAGAACTTACGGAAAAGACCAGGAAACTATTTAATAGGGCTAATAAAACCAAAGAATGGGATATTTATAGTGCAGCCCTAACTGAATATAATAAAGAAATCAGGAGAGCCAAGAGAGCATCGTGGAGGAAGCTATGCGAGGAAGTTGAGTCTTTGCCTCGCAGTGCAATACTACACAAGATGCTATCGAAAGCTAAACCTAATCAGATCGGGCTTCTTAAAAAGTCGGATGGTAACTTCACTAATAGTGAAACAGAAACATTGGAGTTACTAGCGTCAACCCATTTCCCAGGGTCATACAAGACTTCAGCCTTGAACTCTTTCAGAGCCCTACGAAGGCCTTGCAATGAGGACTGGCGTAGGGCTGCAAAGATAATAAGGCCAAACCTGGTGCAGTGCGTTGTTGACTCCTTTGAACCATTTAAATCAAGCGGGGAGGATGGAATAATTCCCATCCAACTACAGAGGGGTATCGACATCCTTCTTCCTTATCTGGTGAAAATCTTCAGAGCAAGTTTTGCATGGGGATATATTCCAGAACGATGGACAATTAAAGCCTATCTTCCTTTCTTCTTAAGACATTAGAAAAGGTTATAGATAGATATATAAGGGATGTAGCTCTAGCTACGAGGCCCATACATTGCAACCAGCATGCTTACCGCAGAGGCAAATCCACGGAAACAGCCCTGATCAGTGTCATTGACAGGGTCGAAAAAGCACTGGAGGATAAAGAAATAGCTCTTTGTGCCTTTCTAGATATTGAGGGCGCCTTCGACAGTAGCCCCACATCACTGCTGATTGGGGGCCTAACACCTAAAAATGTTGACCCCACAACCATCAGATGGGTGAAGTCGATGCTCTCAAATAGAAAGGCAAAAATAGCGCTGTTTCAAACTTCGATTGAGGTTGCAACCACAAGAGGCTGCCCACAAGGAGATGTTTTGTCACCCCTTCTTTGGACTCTTGCGGTTGACCAACTATTGTACAAAATGGCAGACCTACGCATTGACACATTGGGTTATGCTGATGACCTTGTGATCATCGCGAGGGGCTTTTGCCAAAGTACTTTATCGTCAATAATACAAAGAGCCCTAAACACCATAAATAACTGGTGTAGGGATAATAGTTTATCAGTTAATGCTGATAAAACTGTTATAATACCCTTTACCAAAAAGAGACGGTTGGACAAATTAGTCCAACCAAAACTTAATGGCAAAGAAGTACCATTTTCCACGGAAGTTAAGTACTTGGGCGTAACAATCGACCAAAAACTAACGTGGAACTCTCACCTTAGCAACGTATGCCATAAGGCAAAAATTGCTTTAGGTACGTGCAGTCGTTTGGTCGGGAACAACTGGGGCTTGCGTCCCAGTATGGTCCTATGGCTGTACAGCAGCATAGTGAGGCCGATTCTCACATACGACTATATTGTCTGGTGTAACAAGGCCAACCAAAAGACGACTGCGGACAGACTAAACGGTCTACAAAGGACTGCCTGCTTAATGGCAACTGGAGCTATGCGATCATCGCCTGGAGCGGCTCTTAATGCACTTCTATGCATAACGCCACTTGATCTCTATCTAGACAAGTAGGCGAGGGCTAGTTTGTATAGAATTAACGCCCAGGGTGGTCTCAGCTTGCTCTCCTACAGATTGAGATCCATGCTCGACTCAATTAAGGAATCACCGGTATTATGCATGATCTCAGATATCATGCGTCCACTACACACTTTTGATAAAAAGTATATAGTGGAATTACCCTCCAGAGAAGACTGGCTGAATGGTTAATGGTAATGGCAGGTTATCTGTGAGGTCGGTAGCCTCATATGGTATACCGATGGGTCTAAAATGGGCCTCGACGTAGGCTTTGGAATTTACGGGGAACGCCCCAAATTCAAACTTAGTATGAATTTGGGTAGATAAACCTCTATCTTCCAGGCAGAAATTTTCGCCATACTTCGGTGTGCGGAACTCAATCTGCAAAAACACTACGTCAACCATAAAATTTACAAAACTCTGATAGTCAAGCAGCACTGCTAGCGCCGAGACCAAACTTAGTGAACTCAAAGCTAGTTGAAGACTGCGTGAACCGTTTAAATACCCTGGGATGTAACAACAGGGTCGTTTTAAGATGGGTTCCGGGTCACGAGGGTATTGTAAGCAACGAATTTGCCGACAAACTTGCACGGGAGGGCTCAAAGTGCACACAATTTGGAACTGAGCCATTTTGTGGAATCTCAAGAAGCCTAGCCCGATTGACCGTTGAAACTCTTTATCACAATAAATCATTTAAGATCTGGTCTGACACACCAGGCTTAAAACATTCTAAAACCCTAATCCGGGCTTTTGATCGTAAATTAGCTTCAGAAGCCCTGGGATTAAGTAAAAATAAATTGCGTATTCTGGCAAGAGCCCTAACTGGACACTGTTGTCATAAAAAGCACATGTCCATCCTGGGACTAAGCAACTCAAGGATGTGTCGGTTCTGTTCCATAACGGAAGAAACGTCTCTACACATCCTAACCGATTCCGGACCCTTAATGCGCAAACGTAACACTCATCTGGGACACTATCTACTCCGCCCAGAAGAAGTGAAATTGCTCACGGCTAAGCAACTCCTTCGATTCATTGAAGACATAGGGCTTAGCAGTGAACTATAGCCATAGCAGTGATCAGAATAGATCTTTTGGGTCGCAGTGATACTGGTCTCTTTACCTAGATCTGCATAGCTGCTCGCATATAATAAAAAAAAAATAATATGCTATTGTCTACTAAGTATCTCGGGACAGTTTTTACCACGTTTCTCTAAGTGACTGTTCATAGTCGTCTGACAAAATCGGAAGAAAAATGATATATATGAATTCCGATTATCCACTCCGCCTGGGGTGGATAGATGAAGACGCGTTTCCGGATATCAACCCTAGGTTGGATCATTTAGAGTGGATAAACGGATTAACCCATTTTAACCTCTTTCATATTTTTGTCAGACATCTGTTTACTATTTGCATTATCCCATTTTAGAACCAGCTAATCTCATGAAATGTCAACGTTAAATACCTGTTTTCACTATTGTCATCGGCCGGTAAACCACTGCCCGTTGGTGCCTCACACAAATTACTTTTCTAGTTTGAATAAGTTTTACCTCATGCAATGTGCTATACAAGTGTCTTTGACCCTATCTAGTATTTTGGCCATAGCACGAAGCGGTATCCAATTGTGTTTTCAGTAATACTTATTGCTCTGTAATCTGTTCGCCTTCGCATGAGATTTTATATGAACAAAGCAGAAAATTGGTTCTTTAGAGATGCAATTAAGTGATGATTAGAATACATTTGCAAACAAAAATATTTTATATGTAGAAGCGCAAAAAATACACTTCTCACATAAGACTAAATTATTTATTTAATTTACTTATAATAAATAAGCCTTTAACTTGTAGTCTAATTTAAAACAACACACATCTCCTCTTAACAACTTCTATCACTTCAATAATGTTAAATATAGTACAAATGTTAAAATCTATTAAAACTGAAGAAAGCATGCACAGATTTACATTTTCTTTCAAATTTCAAAATACAACGGTGACGCGTGCAATATTAAAATTGACAATCTCTACAACAGTATAAATTTTTATTAGAAATAATTATTAGTACTATGGCCTAAAATTTTATCTATAAGCTCAAACTTAAATCTCTCGGAAAGCAAAAATGAAACGAAAGGATTATGTAAATAAACACAATAGTATAGTGTGAATAAATAATAAAATTAAAATAAATTATATTATATAAATAATTTTCGTATTTTGTATCATTAGGTTATTATCTAAATAAATATAAAAAAATTATTGCGGATTATGTTTATA